CCTGATTATAAACTAAGATGAAAAGAACTGTACACACCCATTAGAAATTATAATTAAAGAGTTTAAATTAAAAACACTGGAAATACTGTGTTGGGGAGGATGTAAAGCAACTGATCTCTCATACATGGCTGGTAAGGGTTATTTAAAAGGATTGAAAAAAATCTGCCCACTCCTGGCAAAGCTGATCAAGAAAAAATAGAAAGCATAAATATATCAGGAATGAGAAAAAAAGGATATCACTATAGATCTTATACATATCACAGAGATAATAGGAGGATATTGATTTCATCTGAATTTTCAAATTTATCAGTATAAATTCCTAGAAAATTACGATTTACCCAAAATAACTCAATGAAAGCTTATTCTACGAAAAATAGAAAGTCTGAATAGTTACATAATTACTAAATAAATTGAACAACTGATCAAAAATCTTCCCAGATAGAAAAGTTCATGCCCAAGTGGCTTTCAGGCAGTTCTTCCAGGCAGTTCCAAATATTCAAGGAAGAAATTTATTCTAGTTTTACAAAACTTTTTTAGAAACAGAGTAAGAAGGAACACTTGTAACTTAGTTTATAAGCTAGTATAACCTCAACAGAAAAGCCTAATGAGGGCCAGACATGGTGGCTCACACCTGTAATCTCTGCACTTTGGGAGGTCAAGGTGGGAAGATCACTTGAAATCAGGAGCTCCAGACCAGCCTGGACAACAAACCAAGACCCTGTCTCTACACACAAACAAACAACAACAACAACAACAACAACAAAAATGAGTCAGGTGCAGGGGTGTGTGCCTGTGGTCCCAGCTACTTGAGAGGCTGAGGTAGGGGGATCACTTAAGCCCGGAGGTTGAGGCTGCAATGAGCCATGATCGCCCCCACTGCACTTCAGCCTTGGAGACAGAGCAAGATCCTGTCAATTAAAACAACAAATAAATAAACAAAAATGCCCAACAAGGAAGAGAAAGGGAAGTCATAGGCAATCTCATTCATGAACATAGATTAAAAACACCTGAAGTATATACATACCCACACCCCCGACATGAATACATATGAGATGTGTAAATGTGAATACTTACATGTGTGTATATGTAAGCAAACCAAATCAAACAATGTAAAATAAAAATAACACATCATGACTGACCGAAATTCGTCCCAAGAATGCAAAAGTACTTGAGAAAATCTATTAATTCATCAATTTAATACTTTAAAGGAGCGGAAAAATTATATGAACATCTCAACAGATGTAGTCAAAGTATCTGATAAATGCTCTTAGGTAGGATAAAAACTCACTAAGTAGTAACAGAAGGGAAGTTTTTCAAGTTGACGGGGTTATCTACGAAAACACCTCCAGCAACCATCACACTTACTGATGAAACCCTGAAAGCAGTGCCCTTGAAATCAGAAACAGGGCAGGGAGCCCACTATTACCACTTCCATCAGCATTGCACAACAAATCCTACCAAGCATGGGAGGACAAGAAAAAGAACTAAAGACCTAAAAATGGAAAGGAAACAAAACTCACTATTCATATATATGATATTATGTAAAACATGAAAAATGCAAAAGAATTCTAATTACTAGAATTAACAGTTTTTGGCAAAGTTTCTGAACACAAAAATTAACATGCAAAATCAATGATTTCTAAACACCAGTAACACAAAAGATAAGGTACAATGGTATCAAAAATGCAGAGTAACTAGGAAGAATCTGAAAAACAGCACATGTAAGTCCACAGTGTGAAAAATTATAAAACGTAATTGAAAGACAGTAAACCCAAATAGAATAGATTGGAAGACTTCGTATCATAAAGACTCCCCATAGTGATCTTACAGATTCAATGAAATTCTAATCAAATGCATACATTTTCATGAAACCTAGTAAGTGTATTCTAAAATTTATATGAAATTACAAAGCCTGTGATAGCCATGACAATCTTTAAGAACAAGTTGAGTGGACTACATGTCCCAAATATTGACTAGCATAAAATTACAATAACTTATACCATGCAATGCTAATGATAAGTGATAGAGTGGTAGCCTAACAGAACAGAAGAGAGCATAGAATCAGACTGATGCACACAGGGACATCTGATAGGATATAAGAATGGTTTTGCAGATTAGCAGGTAAAGTATGTACGTAGTGCTGGAAATAAGTGAAATGCAATCCTCACCTTACATCATACACAAAAATCTCTTCCACTTAGGTTAAAGAACTGAGAAAAGCGAAATTACATGGGAGATATTGAGAATATACAACAGTATTTTTAAAGAAATCCTTCCCTATTATGAGGTCATAAATCAATAAAAAGTAGAAACCAATTCCTCACAAAAGAAAATACACATCACTTGAGAAGATACACATCGCTTGAGCCTAGGAGTTTGAGATCAGCCTGGGTAAATAGGGGGACCCCTGTTTCTATTAAAAAAACAAAAAAACAAAAAACTAGTCAGGGGAGGTGGTGCACGCCTGTGGTCTCAGCTACTCAGGAGGTGAGGCAGGAGGACTGCCTGAGCCCAGGAGGTTGAGGCTGCAGTGAGCCATGATAGCGCCACTGCATTCCAGCCTCTAGCCTCCTGGGCAACTGTGAGACCTTGTCTCAAAAAAAAAAAAAAAAAAAAAAAAAAAAGATATACAGATGGAAAATAAGCACATGAAGAGATGCTCCACATCATATGTCATCAGATAAATGTAAAGTAAAACAACGAGATACTACTATGCACCTATTAGAAAGACCAGAATTGAAACACTGACAACACCATATGGTGGCGAGGATGTGGAGCAACAGGAACTCTCATTCATTGCTGGTGGGAATGCAAAATGGTACAGCCACATTGGAAGACAGTTTGGCAGGTTCCTACAAAGCTAATAAGCTAAACATACTCTTACAATATGATTCAGCAACTGCGTTACTTGTTATTTGTTTAAAGGTTGAAAACATGTCCCCATAAAAACCTGCACATAGATGTTTATTGCAGTTTTATTAATAATTGCCAAAATTTGGAAGCAACCCAGATGCCCTTCAATAGGTGAATGGATAAACTGTGGTTACATCCAGACAATGAAACATTATTCACTACTAAAAAGAAATGAGCTGTCAAGCCATAAAAAGTCATGGAAGAAACTTAAATGCATACTACTAAGTCAAAGAAGTCAATTTGAAAAGGCTACATGCTGTATGATTCCAACTATATGACATTCTGGAAAAAGCAAAACTATGGAGACAGTGAAAACATCAGTGGTTGCTAGGGGTTAGAGGGTAGGTAGGAAGAGATGAATAGTCAGCTTAGAGGATTTTTGGGGCAGTGAGACTGTTCTGTATCATACTATAACACTGGATGTCATCATACATTTGTCTAAACCCATAGAATGTACAAGAATGAACCCTAACGTAAACTATGGACTTTAGGTGATTATTTTGTGTCAACGTGGGTTCACTGGTTGTAACAAATGTACCACTGTGGTGGCAGATGTAGATAATGGAAAAAACTGTGCATGTGTGTGGGCAGGGGGACGTAAGGAAACTCCACGTACTTTCTGTTCAATTTTTCTGTGAACCTAAAATTGCTCTAAAAAATAAATTCTATTGAAAAAAGCAGAAATCATAAAGAAAAAAGATAGTCACAATAAAGTTAGTTTTTTATTCATCAAAAAGTACCACCAAAAATGGGAAAAGATAAACCACATTGGTCTTGATGGGAGAAGGTATCTGCAAACATTAAACCAACAAGAACTGGTATCCAGAATATGTGAAGAATCCCTAGGAACTGGTAAAAATTAATAAAAAGACTAGAGATAAATCATAACTACAGTTCATGCCTAAAGCCCACTAAATTGGCAAGAATTAATAAACCCGACAAAATTAAGTACTGTCAAGGATGCAAAATGAACTCACCCAGTGCTGGAAGGTGGTCCACTTTGGAAAGTTAAACATGCACACAACCGATTGCTCAGCATTTTTACTCCTGGAGAAATTCTGGCACACTTACAAGAGATGTTCACGACAACACTCATGTTAACAGCAAAAGCAAACCACAAAAATCTACACACAACCCAAACAGTTACCAGCAAGAGAATATAAAAACAAACTGGAAACAACCGAAGTATCTCCTACCAGTAGAATAAGTATAGTAGACATTCATACTGAAGGGGTTAAAATATGCCATTCTGGCATACTATTTAAATTAAAGACACATGAAAAACAGCAGGTACAAAAAGGTGACTGACCTTTGTGCTGTTTCTTAACAGCAGGAGATGGATTCCAGTGTGAAAGACACTATACTAGAAGGAAAGGCATCAAACATCTTTATCTTCAATGACAAGAAGTTTGAGACCAGGAGAACACTGTACAGACCTTGTTAAAATAACTATTTTTTAAGCCTCCCACAAAATATAGTCACATTTTCACAGTTTACTAGTCTTTGTCCAATTCAGTATTTAAGTAACTGACTCTACTTCTTTTGTTTTTTATTTCTTTATGAAGGCTCCTGCACCACATAAAATTTGTATTACATAGATTTATATGCTTTTCTCTTGTTAATCTATCCTATGCCAATTTAATCTTCAAGCCCAGCTGGGACCCTGAGAAGATGGGAAGGAGTTTTCCCCCTCCCTACCGTACAATGAAATACTATTCAATAATAAAAATTGACTAATTTTGAGAATAACATGAGTCAACCTCAGAAACACTGAATGAAAGAGAATATATAATGAAATAATAATGTATATAAATTCAAAACCAGGCAAAACAGTCTGTTGGGAGATACGTAACTGGGAAAACTATGAAGAAAAACAAGTAAAAACTATCACAAAAATTAGAGCATGACTATTATGGAGAGGGTGAGTGCAGGTGATCAAGAAGGGGCACAAGGGACCTGTCCCCGGTAATGCCCCATATTTTAACCTGAACAGCTGCGGCACTGCTGTTTTATTTTTAAAGTACACAGTTACATGTTATGTGTAATGTTCTGTCTTTATACTTTACAACAGAAATAAATTTATCACATTTTCATTTAACTTTTGATAATAAAATACTTTATTGGTACCATTTAATAAATGTCAAAAACATATAACATTTCCATTGCTTAGCTTCCATCTTTAAACTACAAGCTAGTTTAAAAACAAGAGGAACGAAAGTAAACTCATTTGATTCTCTCAAAAAACAAGCTGTAACTTACCTTTGCAAATAATTAAGTTCTCTCACTTTAAATATCATAATTCAATGGTCTTCATAATAAATAATTATAATAATACATAAAAGGAGACAGTGGCCTGAATTATTTTGCAAAGAACATTTCACACATCTTTAAAAAAATCACGGGCCGGGCGCGGTGGCTCAAGCCTGTAATCCCAGCACTTTGGGAGGCCGAGACGGGCGGATCACGAGGTCAGGAGATCGAAACCATCCTGGCTAACAAGGTGAAACCCCATCTCTACCAAAAAATACAAAAACCAGCCGGGCGAGGTGGCAGGCGCCTGTAGTCCCAGCTCTCGGGAGGTTGAGGCAGGAGAATGGAGTGAACCTGGGAGGCGGAGCTTGCAGTGAGCAGAGATCGCCCCACTGCACTCCAGCCTGGGCAACAGAGTGAGACTCCGTATCAAAAAAAAAAAAAAAAAATCACTAAACCACAACTTAAAATCTGTAAGAATAATTGGGTAAGAGTTATTGTAATATTGAATTAATATAGCACCTAGAATTTTGAAATTTGTAATATTTCAGATTATATGATTTACTGAGAAAAAGAATAATGATTTTTCTTCAGTGAATTTTCAGTGGTTTTCAACATAGGTCTCTTTTAAAAGCCAAAGGTTAAAAAATTTATGCATACTAGGAATTGACCTGATGGTAACAGATCCATGTGTGATAAATAATGTAGTGCAGTCCTATGTGAATATAATTTCTTCTTCACTTTGTCTCATTAATTTATACCTCAGTTAAAACATTCTATATACAAGTGATATATTTCTATAAAACATTCCATATTTCAGATTTCCATTCAGACTATCTTCCCCTCCTCCCTTTTCTCAAATCAGAGTGATCTTGTGGCATACATTTGCTTTTTCTCTCCACAATGAAACTCTTTTTCAACTCAAAGTATTATAGTAATGCAAATACAAATGTAGCATATATTAATACATTAGAAAAAAGGATAGTAAATACATATGGATCCATGCCAAATGAGAAAATTGAAAGCAAAAACAAACAAAACCATGCTATACTCATCTATTCTGACCCACCATGGGAAGACCCTGATGTAGATGGCTAACATAAACTAATGTTCCCAGACACAGCTAGGATCCTGTACTCCAACATAATTAAATGCTCTGTTAAAAATGTTTCCATGTTCTTTTCTGTTTGTTCAAAATAGTTTACAGCAACTCTGACTACTAATCCTGAAAATGATAATGTAATAACATTATATTTTTAATCAAGCCATAGATTCTAACCTATTTTCTACTATTACCCATTTGCTTAAAAACAGACTTTCAGGGTGTAAGCAACAGTTAAGTTAAGGAGTTTTTATTTCTACCTTTCTCTTGATTGACTGATTGGGGATTTCAGATGTGTCAATTAATTATCCTCTACTTCAGTGGAAAAGGATTCTTTGAGCTATCAAATCAAGCAGGCTGACTCAGGGGTGGGCAGGTGAAGATACCTGTCCACACACTATGCTCATAACGCTCCATCTCCTCTGTAAGAATGTGCTGCTCTCCACCCAACAGCGGCCCAGCACATTCCATCTGCTCCACCTAGATGCAATCAGGACACCATGCCATCCCACACACAGTCAGAACATGGGCACCAGGTAGAACTAACTCAAAACAACTTTTGGGACAAATGTGAGATTTCAATTTGTCAATTATTCCATAGTGCAATATTCTCACAAAACAGAGATTTCATGTTGAAACATTTGCTTTTTCTTCTTACATCAAGTTGAATTGCTAAAGTAATGTCAGAAAGAATATGAAAAATAAACAAGTCTTTTCCAAAAGAGGCACTGCATCTGGAAGTAGAAGTAAGGCTAAATAAATAGTGCTGGTTTGTGGTTCACACAGTAACACATTAATTATGATTTCAACCAACAGCTTCGCTGTTTGTCCTGTATGCCTGTTTATGAAGATGCGTCTCTATTTCCTCCCTGAAGACCAGCATTCCCAGGTGGGAGTGAGAGGCCTCATTCATGGCTTTAGACTGGATGCACATGCGGTACTGCTCGGGGGGCAGCTCATCAGCACAGCGCTTTTCATGCCAGAGGTGGAAAAGACCAGGAACCGGAGTCCGAATCACAATGAGGTCACCATGTAAGTATTTTCGATAAAGATGAACATCTTCTCCACCCCAACCTTTCACTTCCATGTCAAATCCACCTGTAAGATCAAAACTGACACTATAAATATCTGCCTATTATTAGCCAGAGCACAGGGATATATATATATATATAAATGTTTAAACGTTCTGCTTCAAAAGGGATGGGATGGTTCGGCACAAAGATAGCATGAGACACCTGGCATGGAGGAGTGACTTCCAATCACTGGAAGTTCAGTTTTGAGCTGACACTTGGACTCAAGGAGCTCAAGATTGGTTGTTGAGAGTATCAAAATGGGGTTAAATATTTAAGAACTTTGTAAATTTCACAGTCCTGTAGAAAATCTACAGAAAGTCAAAGGAGAAGAAAATACAAGTCACCTATAATCTCACCACCATTAAATTTTTATGTTTTCTTTTTGTTCTTTTAAGACAGGGTCTCACTCTGTCACCCAGACTGGAGTGCAGTAGTGTGATCATGGCTCACTGCAGCATCGACCTCCGTGGCTCAGGCGATCCTCCCGTCTCAGCCCCCTGAGCAGCTGGAACCACAGGCGCATGCCACCATACTCGGCTGTTTTTTTTTTTTTTTGTGGAGATGTATCACCATGTTGCCCAGGCTAGTCTCGAACTCTGGGTTCAAGTGATCTGCCCACTTGGCCTCCCAAAGTGCTGGATTACAGGCTTTAGCCACTGAGACCAGCTACATTTTCTATCCTTTGAGACACATGCTTTTCTGGGCTATAGAAAAACTCCCCAGAGGGGAAAAAGAAGAAAGGGCCAAGCTGGAGATAGAAATTTGAGAATGGGTCCATAGATTATTTAAAGCTATAGGAATGAATGAAATTCCTGAAGGAATTTGGAAGGAAAACAGGCCTAGGTCTACACACTAAGAAATGCCAATTTCTAGAGATTAAATAGAGGTAGAGAAAGTCAGGAAAAGAGATTGAGAAGTGGCCCCAGGTGAGGGAGAAAATTCTGGAAAAGGTGCCATTGGAGTAGCCATGTGAAGAAAGTGTCTTGAGGAAGAAGTTGTCAAGTGTGTGCTATTCAGTGAAGAATTTAAAAAGAACTGACTGGACCTGGCAGCCTAAATGTTACTTATAAATTTACCCAGAACAATTTTGATAGAGTGATGGGGCAGAAGGCTAACTGGAGTGGGCAGACCCATAAAACGGGAGATGAAGTTGAGACTATTTTCAAGCCAGGTTCAAGCTAAACAACTAACGTTTTAAAGATGCAGGGAGAATGCAAACCACAGTTTTTTGAAGAGCTAGAAAACTGATTCTTAAAAACCTAGAAAAAAATTCTTTAATTAAGAGTGAGGCTTCCAAATTAATTCTATTTTTTTAGAGACAAGGTCTCTGTCACCCAGGCTGGAGTGAAGTAGGATGATTATAGCTCACTGTAACCTCAAATTCCTGGGCTTAAGCAATTCTCCTGCTTCAGCCTCCTGAGTAGCTAGAACTACAGGTGTGTGCACCACACCTGGTCAATTACAAAAAAAATTTTGTAGAGACAGGCTTACACGATGTTGCCCAGGATGGTCTCAAACTCCTGGCCTTAAGCCCTTCTGTCTTGGCCTCTGAAAGCATTAAGACTACAAGTGTTAGTCACTATGCCCTGCCATCTGTTAAACAACTTTTTTTTTTTTTTTTTTGAGCCTCCCAAGTAGCTGGGATTACAGGCATGCACCACCACGCTCAGCTAATTTTTGTATTTTTAGTAGAGATGGGTTTTTACCACGTTGGTCAGGGGTCTTGAACTCCTGACCTCAGGTGATCCACCCACTTTGGTCTCCCAAAGTGCTGGGATTACAGGCGTGAGTCACTGTGCCTGGCCCGTCAAATAATTTTTATTTTTCAGAGATGTGGTCTCACTCTGTTGCCCAGGCTGGAGTACAGAGGTATAATCATAGCTTATTGCAGCCTCCAACTCCTGGGCTCAAATGATCCTTCTGCCTCAGCCTCCTTAGTAAGTGGGACCACAAGTTCGAGCCACCATGTCTGGCTCCTGTCAAATAATTCTATCCCACTTAATTTCACATTAACAGGATGGACAATAATCCGGAGATCTCTGAAAAGTATTAAATAATCAGAGCTTTACTAAATGCTATGTCTGAGACATATCAGCTTTTCTTCCTTGTAGATATAAGCTCTTAGAATATTAGAGATGGTACATATACTTAAAAGAAATGGGGCATTCCCAGTTTCTGGTCTGGCATGTCTGGGGCTAAGAAGTCATCACTCCATCCTAACAAGTCAAAAGCTGAACACTGAAAAATCAACAACTCCTCTTAGGTCTCTCACAGGGAAGTGAGGTCACAGGGTAAACCGCTGCCCTCAAAACTGGTGAGACAGATAGGCAGATACAAAGAATTCCAACTTACTGGAGCAGAAATCTCTGTGGGAACCAGTACCCAGGTAGGAGAACCCGAACTGTAATTGACAAATTGCTGGAGGCTCAGGGGAGGCAAGTCTGAGAGTTAAAAAACTCCAGGAGGACCCAGTCATATTGGGACCCCCATATTCATGTGAGTTTTACCTCTAGGAGCTCTGCCAGGTTCTCGATGGTGAAGATCAGAGAAAAATCTCTTAATGCGTCCAGCAGTGGGGAAGGGGAAAAGGTAATCATTTTAAAGTATGCCGCAGCATGTTGTCATTATTAACAAGGCCTGTCCTTAGAAGAAGTTATTTAACTAGAGCCTAACCTGCTGGGGTTTTATCAGTGCCTAACTGACTTGGAGGAAGAAATATACCCAACTCCAGCCCCTTCTAGTTATCCTGTCCAGGAGAGGAGGGGAGATTGAGAAGCATGTGTGAAGTTCAGAGTCTGGGATACAGGATCCCTAAGAGACTGAGACTCATGCGACTACAGAACACTTCCACTCCCTCCATACTTCACCACCACATCATCAAAGGCCTATTTATTGCAGTTCCTTTTACCCAGTATATCAAGTCCAACTTTCAACAGAAAACATGACAAGGTATACTAAAAGATAAGAAAAACACAGTATGAACAGACAGAGCATGTACCAGATCCAGATTCAGATACAGCAGGGATGTTGGAATTATCAGGCTGGGAATTTACAACAATTATGATTAATACGCTAAGGGCTCTAATGGAAACAGCAGATAACACACAAGATGCATAATATAAGCAGTGAGATGGAAATTCTAAGAAGGAATTTTAAAAAATGCTAGAGATCAAAAACACTGCAAAATAAATGAATGCCTTAGATGGGTTTATTAGTAGACCAGACTTAGCTGAAGAAACAATCTCTGAGCTTGAGGATATAACAATAAAAATTTCCAAAACAGAAAATCAAAGAAAAAGACTGAAAATAAAATGAACAAAATATCCAAGAACTGTGGGACAACTACAAAAGATGTAACATACACATAATGGGAATACCAGGAGGAAAGGAAACAGAGAAAGGAACAGAAACTCCAAATAAAGAGTCTAAGTTCCAAATAGGTACAGCTCTTTTTCACCCAGCCCACAGCAACAGGGTGGAAGCTCCACTTCCAGGTGTGGCCAGCTGAGAATACTGGGGGTCCTTCTGCCCCCACCCAGTGTCCTGCTCATTAGGACAGAGATGGTCACTCTGCTTAATGATAAGTATGTCACTGTCCCCATCCTCAGGGCAAAACCTCATGGATTTTTTTCCAAGGGGGAGAGGCAGTCCGTAAGAACAAACTGCTCCAAAGTTCTTCCCTAAGGAACTGACTTTATTTAAAATAGAATGTAGAGAAGTTCAGAGTTTAGAGAAGTTCCAGCCTCTTGAAAATAATGGAGATTTTGGTAGTAAGCAATTAAGAAGAGGCTGGTAACTCCAGGAGGGCAACAGCTAAACTGTAGGCCAGCTAATTTACTAGAGAGAACCACAGAGAGAGAGAGTAAGAATATATCTCCCAGGGTCTGAACAAATCTCAAAGACTTGCTGCAAAACTATCCCTGCAAAAGGGCCCAATTTAGTAGGGACAGATTATGGAGCAATTTATGACCCCAGAGCATTGTCAAAAACAAGACAGCACTTAGTGAACCGTCAGTGGAGTCTAATAGGAGTGACAGAGATGCTCAACAACATTAATCATAAGAAAAATTATAATCAGAGTCACAACCAATACCACATCCACTATCATGGGTGATACTAGAAACAAAAAGACAGATAACAACATGTATTAATGAGGATGTGGGGAAACTGGAACCCTTAAAACACTGCTGGTGGGAATGTAAAATGACGTAGCCACTTTGGAAAACGGTGTGGCAATTTCTCAAAAGGTCAAACACAGGGTTACCGTATTACCCAGCAACTCTACTCCTAGATATATGTCCAAGAGAATTGAAAATCTATGTCTACTCAAAAAGTTAAACATAAATGTTCACAGCAGCAGTATTTATAATAGCCAAAAAGCAGAAACAACTCAAATGCATATAAACTGACAAATGGAGAAACAAAATGTGGTATAACCACACAATAGAACATTTTCTATAAAAAGGAATGAAGTACCTAACACATGTCACAACATGGAAGAACTTTGAAAACATTATGTAAGGGAAAGAAGCCAGTCATAATAGGCCACATGTTGTATAATTTGCTTTCTATTAAATTCCCAGAAGAGGCAAATCTATAGGAAGTAGACTTGTAGATGCCTAGGTTTGGGGGAAAAGAGGGTTGGTGGGATATGAGGAGTGATTGTTAATGGGTATGGGGTTTCTTTTTGGTGTTATAATGCTCTAAATTTGATGGTGGTGATAGCTACATGACTCGGTTAACTGTACATTTTAAATTGGTAAATTTTATGATATGTAAATTATATCTCAATAAAATTGTCATAAAAGAGATAAGGAACTCAAAGCATTTAACATACTGCTGAAAAAAATGTACGCAAATCTATTTTTGAGGAATAGTGAAATGCTTCTTGCTTAACTAAGCCAGAAATCAAGGAAAAGAGCATCAGTTTAATTTAATGCCCCTTTTATTGTTATTTCCTGATTTTCCATTATTCACGTGTTACAGTGATAAGGAGACAAGGTGGGGGGGATTTCCAAAACAAAAGGTTGATTATAAAAACGAACGTGATATGGACCTAGAATGTATATAAAATATATTCTATGACTTGTATGCTGTAGAAAGGCAGCTAGCCCTAAATGAATCAGAAGACATGGAATTAGGTTTCAGCCTGCTTTATTAAACTATTCTTTGACACTTTATTTTTTGATGGGTAAGACTGAAGCCGGGGGCTGGGCATGGTGGCTCATGCCTGTAATCCCAGCACTTTGGGAGGCCAAGGTGGGCAGATCGTTTGAGCCCAGGAGTTCAAGACCAGCCTAGGCAATAAAGTGAAACTCCACCTCTACAAAACAAATACAAAAATTAACTGGGTGTGGTGGCGCATGCCTGTGGTCACAGCTACTTAGGGACTGAGGTGAGAGGATCGCTTGAGCCTGGGAGACAGAGGCTGCAGTGAGCCAAGATCGCGCCACTGCACTTCAGCCTGGACAACAGAGGAGCACCCTGTCTCAAAAAAAAAAAAAAAAAAAAAAGAAAGAAAGAAAGATTGAAGCTGGCATGGAGGATGGTTAGAACAAATTATTCATGGGCCATCTTTAGACTTAGGAGAATGCACGACTAAGGTGTGATTCCAAGACGCTAACTCCAATCAGTGCTAGAGAGAGCAGGTCTTCTTTCATTTGTATTAAATACTGGGATTTTGTGTAACAGTTCACTAGACAAGTAAAGGAGGTTTCATCTCAAAAAAGTGTGAAAGTCCTTGGTTTAGACAACCAAGATTACTTCCAACTGTAACAACCCATGGGCAGAACAGTAAAGTTATAGAGAAAGCTTTTGTAAGAGTACTCTAAACAACTGCAAATACAGGCAACAAGTTAAACAGATATTTTTAAAAACAAGTGTTTTGATTTTAAAAGCACAATATTATACTTTATCTTTATGACCTTTTTTCCTAGTCAAAACATTAATTATAAACTTACTTTGCCTTTTGTATATCCAGTTTCTCTTTTTAGCTAACCTTAGACACTCATAATTTAGTAGGAAAACAGATCTGAGAACTTTTAGCAAAATACCATTAAGCCTGGAATAAATAAAGTCCTATCCTTAAATGTAAAGTATACTTACCAATGCTCAGGAAATCTGATCGATACTGACAAGTCATTCCAAAGCCAAAATCTCGCCAAAAGCCAGAATCCTTTTTATGAACCTTAGTTAAAAAAAAAAAAAAATCAATTTAATTCCATAAGAAGCAGAAGAAGTTTTAATCAATGATGAAACAAATTATTTTCTAATGTATACTTTTTTTCCTGTCATTTGTGACTAAGGATCACATGCACTTATGTTATTAAATCTTTACAAAACAAATAAAAATAGAACTCAAAGCCTGTACAAGGTGCAAGCTGAGGTTACTAATAATTAGTGCGGTGCCTGACTTCAAGGGGCTTACATTCTAGGACAACAGTTGCATAAACAAACTGTAACACACATGATCAGCCTTACACAGTAGACCTTTTCTGGTGCCTACCCAGCATCCATTCCCCCAGCCCCCTTCCTATTGGTACAGTTTTGTTCTGGTAATTACCTGGCCCTGGGCAGCCCATGAATTCTGGGAAGCTGCTGTCACCAGTAGATTCAGAGTGGGCCATGAGTCTCTATACTAGTGAGAGAGTCTCACCCCACTTACCATAGGAACTGGCTCACTAATAGGTATTTGGAAAAAGTCAGGCCAAGTAGGTAAACCAGGGGGGTTGTTGGGAACTTTGGAAAACAAAGCTCCCTCGTTCTTCTAAGAGACTCCCTAGAAAGGACACTTGGTCATAGGGCAGGGTCAGCAAACGATGGCCTCTGGCTAAATCTGGCCTGCTGCCTGCTTTTGTAAATAATTTTAGCGGAACATAGTTGTGTTGATCTGTTTACAAATTGTCTATGGGTGCTTTCACAGTGCAGTGGCAGAGTTGAATAGTTGCAGCAGAACTGTATGGCCTATAAAGATTAAAATATTTCTTATCTGGCTCTCTACAGAAAACATTTGTTGACCTCTAGTGCAGGATGCAGCTATGAAGCTTGGAACTGCCAAAGTCCTTTTCTACCATGTGAGAAACCAGCTTTAATATGAAGCTGTCACCACTGAAGTCTAAGTAGAGAAAGAAATTTAAAACCAGGGCATTGATGACACTGAGTCCTTGGAATCACTTCTACTTACAAGTTGAAGCCTGATAAACCTCTTATTTTATTCATACTTTCAACAAGTGTTTGATCTTTTGGATATGGTTCTAGTAACTGGGGCTTAGCAGTGAACAGAGGTGACAAAGTCCCTGCCTTCAAAGCACCTTTGTTTGGGTGGGAAAATAGTAAATAAATAAATATACATTTTAGGTGGTGATACATGCTACAAAGAGGCAACAGCTATAACTAGGGATGGAAAGTTGCTAGTGTATGCTACTGTGGTATGTACAGAAAGCAAAATAGTGTATGGATGTGGAATGTGGAAAAGATTTAGGTCAGAGACTTCACAGAAGTCCGCAAGTGATTGAATGGGCAGGAGTAGGGAGTGAAGGAGAAGGATCAACCAAGACAATAGCAGGTTTCTGTCCTGAACAGTGAGTATGTAATGGTGAGTGAAGGAGAAGGATCGACCAAGATGACAGCAGGTTTCTGTGCTGAACAGTGGGTATGTAATGGTGCCATCACCAAGATGAAGCCCAGGGGAAGGGGAAGCCCAGAGAGGAACAACATGGAGTTGGTTCTGGCCATAATGAATCTGAGTGATCTGTATGGCCCCTACACAGAAATTCCTGCAGATAGCAGGAATATCAAGGTCTGTAGAGGGGACAGATTTTGAGAAGAGTGGGCACAGTCTGAAACTGCTGCTGTACAGAATAGGAGACTCAACAGGAAAACAGAATGAACCAGGCAGCCCTGAGGGCTCAGTTCAGACTGGAGCTGATGGATGAGGTTGGCATTTTTCTTTTCCATTTGTTTTTCTTTGAGCTGAGGGGGAGAACTTCTTCCCCTTCTAGAATGTAAAGCTCCCTGAGGGGAGGACTTGTGGATTCTGTTCATTGCTCTATTCCTAGTACCTAGAACAATGCTAGGCACATGGCAAGCTTTCAATAAATACATGTTGAATAAATAAATATATAGAGAGACAAAACTTTAGTGGCAAAATTATGACTAGACTCTATTATTATTATTTTGAGATAGAGTCTCACTCTGTTGCCCAGACTGGACTGCAGTGGCACAATCTTGGCTCACTACAACCTCTGCCTCCTGGGTTCAAGCGATTTCCGTGCCTCAGTCTGCTAAACAGCTGGGATTACAGGTGTGTGCCACCACACCCGGCTAATTTTGGTATTTATAGTAGTGACGGGGTTTCACTATGTTGGCCAGGCTGGTATCGAACTCTTGCCCTCTGGTGATCCACCCGCCTCGGCTTCCCAGAGTGCTGGGATTACACATGTAAGCCACCACTCCTGTCTCTAATATTCTTATCTCTTTGTTAAAATATAACTGTGATACAAAGTATTAAAAAGCAAAACACCCATTTTGACATCTCTACATCATGCCAATTCTGATTTTATAAGTACTATAACTTTGTAACTTAGTTTCTCTAAAAATTCTTCAAATATTATCAGACTTGGAGAAAGGAATCATTGGTTTTGTTTGATTTTTAAAGCAACACATTTTCACAGAGGAAAGTAGAAGGAAACTCAAATTGTCCATAATCCTCATTGTTAATATTTTCTTGCACTGTTTTATCTGGCCTCCTAAGCCTGTGGGAGATGCAGTTATCCACACATAACCTAGATACCTAAGCCTTGGCCTCTCACAGAATGCCAGATCCCTGAAGCCAACTAGCAACTTGGCACCTCCCCTTAGATGTCTGATAAACAACACATGCCTACTATGGCTCCAGTTGAATCCTGATCTCTCCTCTCCCATTCCTTTCCTTTGCTCATTTCCTACATCTAATCCAACAGCAAGCTCTGTCAGCCCTATCTCTGAATCATATCCAAACCTTTCTCCGTAACTGTAATACACTGTCGCTCAAGCCACAATCATCTTCACTTGTCTACTGTGAAAGCCTAAACTGGCTGCTGCCAGCCAGAGTAACACACAATCCATTCTCCCTGCAAAGGCTTTCCAACACACTTAGCATAAAATCCCAACACCTTCCAGAGGCTTAACAAGCTCTACATGCCCTGGCCCAGCTATATGACCCTCACCGGCTGTGCTCCAAATACCCTAGGAAACCCAGTAGCTGTTCTTTCTGCCTGAAACCACTATCCCCCAATCATAGCCTAGCTGGTTCTTTCCTGTTCTTTGGACAGCTCTGCTCAGCTTCATCTCAGAAATGCCTTTCTGATCAAACAAGTCACAGAAACCACGGAGTCAGTCTTGGCAACTCAGTCTGTTTTAATGATTCACATGGCACGTATTATCTGATTTTACTTTCTGTCACCTCCTAATAAATAAAGGTCCTCATGAGCAATAGCCATATCTGTTAGGGTCTAGATGTCAGGGTGCCAGTGGTGGATAATGCCTGGCATCAAAGGGACCCTCAATATTTGATGAATTAATATAACAGAGGCAGTGTGTGCAGTGGACAGGAGTAGAGGCTGTGGAGCCACATCACCCGGGCTCCTGGGCCTACCCAGGCCAGTGTGCACTTGGGACAGGCACTCGACTGCAGCACAGCTGTGACAAAGGGGGCAGTAATAGTACGTACCTCAGAGGTTGTTAGGAGGATTAAATGAATTAATGTGTAGGCAAAACAGAACAAGTACCCTCCACATAGTAAAGGGTTCATAAAAATATTAGCTATTATCATCATTCAAATGTTACCTAAAATATAGATAAGCTATTTCCCACTTTTTAGCTTTACAGTTTTCTCTACATTTACATTGCTGTATTTACATTTCACATTTTCCTTGATATGCAATATCCACCACAGAATGCACCAGAATTCAATTTATCCTTTTATTATTAGTTTTGCTTGCTTTTAATGTTATCAATTTATGCATATTACTATCATGTAGCTTGATTATTTCCCCACGAGAGACTGCTGGGAGTGGAAATTACTGGATCGGAGGGATGAATCTGTTTAGAACTTGACCCAGAGAACTGGCCTGAATCCCCAACAGAAGCGATGGAGGAGCTCCCATCCCCCAGCCTTGCTCGCATGGCTTTCCTTTTTAAAAGCAGTGACCTAACAGCAGAAAAAAAGCATTATACTGCTGTTTTAATTTATTCCTAGTAAGGCTGACTATTTAAATGTGGTGAAACTAGAACTTGAAGTGCTTAAACTGAAGTTGCTATGCAACACCTAGAATGAATCGGCATTCAAATCATTCTTCTCCTACAACCCTCCAAGCCAGGCAAGAATATTAGCATGCTTTGGCCGGGTGGGGTGGCTCACGCCTATAATCCCAACACTTTGGGAGGCCGAGGCCAGCAGAGCACAAGGTCAGGAGTTAGAGACCAGTCTGGCCAACATGGTGAAACCCCGTCTCTACTAAAAAGACAAAAATTAGCCGGGTGTGGTGGTGTGCGAATATAATCCCAGCTACTTGGGAGGCTGAGGCAGGAGAAACCCGAAGGCAGAGTTTGCAGTGAGCTGAGATCGCGCCACTGCACTCCAGGCTGGGCAACAAGAGCGAAACTCCGTCTCCAAAAAAAAAAAAAGTATTAGCAAGCTTTTACATTCCCTTCACACTTATATGCTGACTTTATTTACCTCTTCTTGTTTGCTTTCAATTAATGTATAACCTTTTATTTTGGAATAATATCACTTGGTTAAGGTGTCTGCTGGGTTTCTCCTTTGAAAAGTTTTTTTCTTTCCATACTATATTCTTTGAAAGTGGGTCCCCTAGTTCCATCTACTGGAAGAAGGAGTATCTACATAAGTTATTTGGAATTCTGTAAGGAAGATTTGTCTTTTCTTTCTTATCTAGTCTAGTCATTTAATATTTATCTGCTCATTCACTTACTCATTTATATCTGTATAGACTCATGGCTATTTATTTGATGCTTTGGGTTATAATCCAGGTCATTGTTCAGGTTGTTCCAGTTTGGGCACTGGGAGCTCTTTCTATTGGCTCCTGCCCCCTTTGACACACTCCCTCTGTCTTTTTGTTGAGTGCTTTCTAACTTTCTGGCGCTGTAAGATGCTCCAGGGTCTTCTTGTATATTTTTTGCCTGTGCCCTGGAATCAACCATTTCTCCGTGGACCTCTGGCTCCTTTGATTGGAGAACAGTATTGGAAACTAAGATTTGGAAGCTGAGTGTGCTTGTTACTATTAGGGTGTCACTGGTTCTAGGCCCTTTCAGCTGACAGTTAGGTAATACACACATAAGTATACCATGCACATAACCCTCTGACATCTTAATCCCAAATTGCTATTAATTGCCTTTTTATTATGTCAACTATTTACACTATTACATCAACAATGTTTAGACTTAATTTTTTTGTTGTTCACTACTATTTATTCTCAAGTCCTCCTCTCTCAATGTATACATTTATCATTTTGCTGGACTTGATTAAAAAGATCTGTGAGAAATAAATTCTGAGTCCTTGAAAGCTCAAAAATGTCTATTTTATCCTAAAATAGTAGGTCAAGTATTAATTCTAGAATCAAAGTTACTTTTCCTCAGGATTTTCATAGTATTGCTTTATTGTTTTCTAACACCAGTGTTGTCAAAAAGAAGGCGAATGTCAATCTGATTGTTACTCCTTTGTGAACAAGCTGGGTTTAGATATTTTTAGTGTCTCTGGAAGCTATTAAAATTGTTCCTTTACTGTTGTTCTCCAAACACCAGAAGATTTGTTTCTGCTTAGCTCTGGAAACTTTTCTTCCATTTCCTCCACTCAATATTCTCTCTTTTCTGAACTCCTATTGATAATTTGGGAGCTTCTGGCTTGATTCTCCTTGTCTCAATTTTTCTCTCATGTTGTCTCGTGAACTTTACGTGTTCAGTTGGCTTGTCTTCCAGTTTACAAATTTGGCTCACCTGTAACCATTCTGCTATTCAGACCATTTACTGATTTTTAAAATATTTTCACAATTCCCAAGTTCTGATTTTTTAAAGCAACAAATCCTGTTTTATGAACTTAACATTTTCTCTAATCTCCCTAAAGATATATTTTAAAATTACTTTCTGTCTGTATTCACACACTCATGTGTTAATTTTTCTGTGTATTAACACTTGGTCCCTCTTTCACACTATTGTTTTTCCTCAAATGTTTGGTTAGTCTTGGTTAATTGCTACTCATTTTTGTTTCAAGTGTTGTTCGGAAGTCCACGGCTGTTAGCTAAGATTAAAATGGCCTATCTCCAGTCACAGTCAAGGAGGGGAGAACAGGGTCTCAGGGGAAATGTGCTAACAGAAGCTCACTTTTGTAGTCTAGGGGCTCCCTAGCCACCCTGACCAGCCTCTCCAGCCCCAGGGACCACACGCACTGCTTTAGACTGAGGGTCAATCCCTGTGATGCCTGCTACTCAGCACACCTAGAGAAGCATGTTTACTCCAGGCTCCCTCCATTCTGTCTGCCATGAGCTCAGAGGATGCAAAGCAGCCCCATCTTCACTCACTGTTCTCTTGAACACGTTCTAGTCTGTTCTCTCCTCCAGAAATCTTATGCTGCTATCATCTTACAGAAAGTTCTCAAAACTTATGGCTGCTAACACCTTCTCTCATTTTCCAGTACTAATGTACTCTTTTCTTTAGAATAATTCACTGTCAGATATGGCAGATGTGGGTGCTCAGTTTGCCATTTTGAACCTATTTATATTTATATTCATAATACTGGCCTAGAGATAAGATAGAGGGGGGTGTGTGTATGTGTGTGTCTGTGTGTACTATGCCAAGTGTTGATATCAGGATAATGGTGGCCTCATAAAATATGTTAAGTACATCATATGGTGCTAATATTACCTGCTCTTTGAGAGTTTGGAAAAGCTCATAAATTAAAACATTGTATTTATGTACCTACAGGGTAACTTTTTGATAACTGTTTTTTAAATGGCTCTTAATTTCTTCAGAGCTTCCACCTCTTTTGTTTTGTTTTTTTGAGAAGGAGTCTCGCTCTGTTGCCCAGGCTGGAGTGCAGTGGTGTGATCTTGGCTCACTGCAACTTCCGCCTCCCAGGTTCAAGCGATTCTTTTGCCTCAGTCTCCCGAGTAGGTAGACTACAGGCTCGTGCCACCATGCCTGGCTAATTTTTGTATTTTTAATAGAGACAGAGTTTCACCATATTGGCCAGGCTGGTCTCGAACTCCTGACCTTGTGATCTGCCTGCCTTGGCCTCCCAAAGTGCTGGGATTATAGGCGTGAGCCACCATGCCCGGCCCACTTCCACCTCTTTTATTCATAAAATACTAACATGAACTTAGCCTGTGTTCATATTTTATAAATTTTCAAATCTTTCATTTTATTTAGAATTTAGAAAACTTACCCTATAAAATTGATTTATCTCAATGTTTTCACTTTCTAATTTCCAATGTTTTCCTTTTTACCCAAAATGTGTCTACCTTACGATTAAATTTTTTGTACATAAACATAAGCTTCTATATTTCTCAATCTATTTTTGTTTTAACTTCTGCCTTTATCTTTATTGCTTTCCTTGAAGTTATTTTTCTTTTTTTTTTAAACATCTTAAAGTGACTTCTTAATCATTTCTACTTTTTCTTAGTATTAACAATAAAGGATTACGCTAAAAGCAATTTGGTATTCTGGACTTGATTCTGAAACAGAAAAGGACGTTAGTAGAAAAACTGGTGTAATCCTAATAAATCTGTAGTGTACTTAGCAGTAACTTACCAATATTAATTTCTTCACTTTGACAAATGCACCATGGTTACATAAGATGTTAGCATTAGAGGAAACTGGGTGAAGTATGGAACTCTCTGTACTATCTTTGCAACTTCTCTAAATCTAAATTATTACAAAATAATGTTTATTTAAACATTTTAAAAAGCTTACATAAGCTTAGCTTTGGCAATAACTGTAAGTTTTGATATATGGCATTTATATTCCATGACTTTCCAAGTAATTTACCAGAGTATACTATTCCCTCTTATTTAGCAGAGTAGATTTGTATTTCTAGTTAGTAGGGTTTTTAAAATCAAATTTTTAGTATTAGTAAAAATAAGCTGGCAGAAATGACTGTACAATTTCCACATTCTGGGACATGAGGTTTTTCCTTTATGACCTAAACTCTGCTCCCCTTACACTTAATTCTGAAGCAATAAATGTGAAAAGCATTTTATTGGTGGTATAAAGAGAAACTATGGAAATGTGTTTACAATAACTACAGTTTTTCTTTAACACTTTGCTCACGGGAATACAGTTTTTTACTGAAACTTTGTTTTCTACTTACACAGCAAACATCTAGAAAAGATCTTTAGAGTCTTTCATAACTGAAAATGTGAAAGTCTCACCAGCTGCTGCTCCACAGGTGGTGGCACTTCCTGGTTGGCATAAACAATGGCAGGATTGTAAAGACTGAACACCACAGGGTAAAACACCTTCTTACCTACAAATTAAAATATAGGTTTGTAACATACAAAGAAGTTATGAAGAACTGTTCCTTGTTGCAATATCTATTAAGTTTTATCAAAGTCTTTCTTATAAGATGATTTTATCTATATTTTTAAATATTCAGGCTACAGAACATCATGTTAATTTGATGAATATGATGATTTTGTAACATATCAGTAGGTTAACTACAACCTTACAAAAGAACAGAGGAAAAAACAAACTAAAGGGTGCTTCACATTTATTCCTTTTGACTTTGGGGAGATGTGTATTCATTACCTGAGTCATTTATTACTCATTATTTCATCTAATCAGTAGTAATAAATGTAGATTAACCTCTGATAATCACTATGAAACTTAGAAATGTCTGTTAAATCCACCCTTCAAAAATGAATCATTAGAAAAAGTAAATTCAAAAAATACTGTACAATGAATAGACATGCAGAGAATAATTAAAATATAGAAAAAATCTGAACCAAAATCTGGAAAAGTCAGGAAGATAAGGATTAAAATTACCTGATATAATAGCCCTTGGAGAAGACCCTGTCATCAGCATTCAAACTGACTGATCTAAAAGGATCATAAAGGCTAACTAGCCCATCTCCCTCAGTAGAGTATGGCTGGCTTCAATCAGATGTGATCACATGAAGTGTTCAGTGATTGTCAGGAAGTGTGGGAGTAACATGGCAACCTTTTTATTACAAGATCCCTAGCAGATGTTCATTCTACCGTTGTTCAAATACATTTAGGGATGGGGAGCTCAATTTTCCAGAGGCAAATCTATTTCTGGATATAAAATATTTCTTTTAAACTAAGCAAATATGTCTCCTTCAACTTTCACATTTTGCATTTCATGCTGTAAAATAAACCTAACCTTCATTTATTCATTAGGTTCAGAGAGTTCCTGAAAACTCTCTCTAACCTAATTAATAAGAAGGCAATCATTTGCATATGAATAGTTCCACACAAAAAAAAATTTGCTATTAGATTCTTTAAAAATTTTTTATTTTTATTTTTTGGGACGGAGTCTTGCTCTGTTGCCCAGGCTGGCGATCTCAGCTCATTGCAACCTCCGCCTCCCAGGTTCAAGCAATTCTTCTGCCTCAGCCTCGAGAGTAACTGGGATTACAGGAGCAAGCCACCACGCCTGGCAAATTGTGTATTTTTAACAGAGATGGGGTTTCACCATGTTGGCCAGGCTGGTCTCGAACTCCTGACCTCAGTTGATCCGCCTGCCTCGGCCTCCCAAAGTGCTGGGTTTATAGGCATGAGCCACCACACCTGGCCTCTTTAATACTTTTAATTCTTTTAAATGAGCTAAAAAGCATTTAGCTACTGTGCCCAGCCAAAAATTTTATTTTTAAAGATGAGGTCTCGCTATGTTGCCTAGGCTGGTCTTGAACTCCTGCGCACAAGTGCTCCTCCTGTCTCAGACTCCCAAGGTGCTGGGATTAAGGTGTGAGCTACTGTGCTCAGCAGCGCCCCCACAATGTTTTTCTAATTGACTAATAAAAATGGTGTACAACATGATGTTTTGCTACATTCATATATTGTGAAATGACTAAATCAAGCTAATAACCATATCCATCACCTCACATAATTAACATGTTTTTTTTTGGTGGTAAGAACATTTTTTTTAATGTTACTGGCTTAGCAATTTGTAAGTATACAATATATTAACTATAGTCACGTTTGTATAATAGATTTCCTGAACTTACTCATCCTGCTGAGATTAATGCTTTTTTTTTTTTTTTTTGAGATGGAGTGTCGCCCTGTCATCCAGGCTGGAGTGCAGTGGTGCGATCTCGGCTCACTGCAAGCTCCGTCCCCTCGGCTCATGCCATTTTCCTGCCTCAGCCTCCTGAGTAGCTGGGACTACAGGCGCCCACCACCACGCCCGGCTAACTTTTTTTGTATTTTTAGTAGAGACGGGGTTTCACCATGTTAGCCAGGATGGTCTCGATCTCCTGACCTCATGATCCACCCGCCTCAGCCTCCCAAAGTGGTGGGATTACAGGCGGTGAGCCACTGCGCCTGGCTTCTTTAATACTTTTAATTTTTTAAAATGAACTAAAAAGCATTTAAAATTTGATTTAAAAAAATGTCATCTTCTCATTAATTTTTTTTTTTTTTTTTTTTTTGAGACGGAGTCTCACTCTGTCACCAGGCTGGAGTGCAGTGGCGCGATCTTGGCTTACTGCAACCTCTGCCTCCTAGGTTCAAGCAATTCTTCTGCTCAACCTCCTGAGTAGCTGGGACTACAGGCGTGTGCCACCATGCCTAGCTAATTTTTGTATTTTTAGTAGAGACGGGGTTTCACCATGTTGGTCAGGATGGTCTCAATCTCTTGACCTCATGATCCACCCGCCTCAGCCTCCCGAAGTGCTGGGATTACAGGCAAGAGCCACTGCACCCAGCTATCTCATTAATTTTCAAAAAATATCTACAACTTAAAGCAAAATATAGTAAAACACCTCAAAATGCAGTTTGGAGACCAAGCACTATCTGCATCTAGAATTCCATGTGAGTGTGTGTGCACACATGCATGGGGGTATGTTTGCATGTGTGGACACTATATGCCCAAAGCTGAGTGCTTCAGACTCACACACATCTCCATACCATCTGCTTAGCTCTTTTTCGACCTGCATTGCTCCTGCCTCATCAATTTGTAGATATCCTGTTCCTCTGCATTTCTTTATTTGACTTCAAATGTAGTCACTGGAAGTTGGACCCAAGAGAACAAAGGATATGAATTTCAAAGGGTCAAATTTTCAATTTCCTATTTAGTATTCCAGTTACATTATGCCTAATATAACTTAAAAAAAATACTGGGGTTTAACTGAAACTTCTCCCTCAAAATCACTTGATTCAAACTATAGGACATGCCGACACTGTTCTAAATTCTATAGTCAGCTCATCTACCAACATTTTACGCACCTGGCTCAGCATTTAACCGGCAGCTGTTAAGGAATTCGGCTGAGAAATAGATATCAACATCACAGAAAAACATCAAGACCTCTCCCTTGTCCCAAGCTCGGGCACCCACATTTAGTCCTCGTCCACGATTAAATTCTTCATTCAATGAGACCAAGGTGTAATTGTGAAAATTAGACTCACTATGAGGAAAGCACACACAACAAATGATAAGTCCCACTTAAAGTTACCAATTTTCTTCCTTCAACACAGCTTACAAAATATGTTTTACACTTCAAATATTTGATTATATTGGTTCTACATTCACACAGGGAAAGAAAATCCCAGCTTCATGTGTATGATTATCATCAGGGAGAGATATTCACCAAATGCCCACATTTGAGGCACATTTTGGTGGTATGAGGCTCCAAAAGTGTTAAAGTGGCCACTGCCCTTTGGAATCTTAAACACCTTCTGGGGAGATGAAAAATACACAAATGGAAAAAGAGCTGTAATGTCTGTTAATAAATAATGCATTCTAATTGGATAACACACACAAAGATCACTCTCCTCCTGCATCTGTTGGGTCTTTGCACACATGTCCCCTTATCAGAGGGATCCTCCCTAATACTACTTGAGAAGCAGCTCTGACCTCCCAGTCCTTCATCTCCATCCTCTTCCTCAGCTGTTTTCCTTTATATTGTCAGACATGTTTGTTCCAGTGTCTCTTCCACTCTGTGGGAGCAGGGATTTTGTTTTGTTCGTTACTACGGACAGTGTCCCCTGATAGAGTAGGAGTTCAATAAATAGTTGCTGAATGAATGAATGAACAGCAGTTCTAAAAAATACATCGCTCATGTCTGGAGTAGTTAGATAAGATGTTAGAAGTGGAACGTGAGTTATGCCTTGGTTAAAATGTTGAATTCAGTGGTGAGTGTAAAGGTCATTCAAGAGAATTATTCCCAAAGGCAAAGAGGTAAGAATGTAGAAAGCATTTTAGAGAAAAGGGATCAGACAAATCAGATTGGTACAAAAGGACCCTAAAATGGGAACAGTGAGATAAGGGTCAAAGGAATCTTAAAATGGGAACAATGAGAGAAGAGTCAGACAGAAGAGTACCTCCCATGCAAGGTTAAAGAAATCGGTCAGTATCCTAAAGGTAAGAGAATCAGCAGGGCTTTTCTGCTAGGGCAGTGGTTCTCACAGTGAGGCCCCCAAACCCACAGCATCAGCTTCCCGTGGCAACGTGTTAGAGAAGCAAACTCTCAGACTACACCCAGACCCACTGAATCAGATGCTAGGGCTGGAGCCAAGCTTCTACATTTTCACAAGTCCTCCTGGTAACTCTGGCACTGAAGTTGGAGAACCACTTACTGCAGCCTAATCAAAAAAGTAACATTTTAGGAGGATTATGCTTACAACAGTACAGAATGGGTAATGGAGAGATGGAAAAAAGGCTCAAATAGTGCATGGAATGGACTCCAAGTGCTCTGAGTGCCTAAGACTCTTTCCCCCATCTTAAGGATTATAAATCTCTCCTCTGTTGGGTGAAAACTGCCCACTGCCACCCCACATACTCAGCATCAAGTGGAGGCACTGATCACAGAATACCCCTCACTCTCTGCCCACCCCAACCACAGTAATTTCCTAGGGGTGGGGACCAGGCTTAAGCTGCGCCAGTCCCAATACCCCCACCCCACCTGGCCATAGTGACTGGCTCAAGAGTGGGCAAAATGTCCTTCCCTGGGATTTTCTCAACTGGAGCTGGGAGAAAGCTCTTTCCTCTCTGATGGCAAAGCTGAGAAGATGTGAGCCCAGAGCCGCCAACAGTCATATCCCTCACCATGTGGAAGAAGCCAATCTGCAACAGGAGAATGAAGTCAACATGCAGAGAAAAACAGACAAGGAGACAAGAGAATTTTGATGGTATTCAAGTCTCTGGTTCAAATCCCTGAGAAACCAGAGTTGTTTTGATTTTCTTCCCCAAATTTGGTTGTAACAATCCCTTTATTTCTGGGAGGTATGCAAGATTCTTCAATACTGCTCCTATTTTCCTTAAGTAAGCTCAAGGTAGGTTTACACCATTTGCCACGGAAGTGTCTTGACAATACTTCAGTATTACCAGTGTGAGCTCGTGGCACTTAGTAGGTGATCTAAAAACACTAAGGAGGGAGAGGAAGGGAAGAAATGGAGGAATGGGGAACCAGGGTTAGGGTGGTGGCAGTAGCAAGGAAGAGACAGAGAAGAGGTCTTGTGAAGTAAGTAGGAACTAACTGATTAGAGGTAACTGGAGGCAAAGAATAAGTAAAAGACTGTGGCTCTCAGAAGTCATGCCCAGGGGATGGTGAAAATGGTTTTACTCTGAACTGATAGAGGGCCATCAGGAAGAGGAGCTGGTGTATGGAAGGGGAAGACAGTGAGTAGTGTCTATATATATCAAGGCTCTGAGAATCCCTGCAGGTCAGGGACTCAGATTCACCCATATATGCCCACTCTTCTTCCAGCTACGCCAGACTCCCAAGCAGTGTACCTGGAACACAGTAGGTAGGACTCAATGAATGTTAGTTGAATGATTTGAGAAGAACAGCTGATCAAATCTGGGCTCTTGGCAAATGGCCACAACTGGCAGAAAGGTAAAGAAGCAAGTAAAGGATATAGAGCTGGTGTAACCGGTTAGAGATGATAATCAACCTAATAGTTTACATTACATATACTTACATTTACAAAATAGTTACATTTTACAAACATAAGAAGAACATTTTAAGATGGAAATACTGGTTAGGTTGTCAAAGGTAAAAAAGCAATGAAAAAGAATAACAGAAAAGAATTTGGCAGTTAAGTCGTATCTTTGGGCCCATGATTTAGAAAGAAAAAGACTGAGAAGCTAAAGAATAATTAAGTACTAAGGGATTACTAATTCATCCATTCAAACCTCTGAGCATCTACTATGTGCCAGGTACTGTATGACTTGCTTAGTTATGAACTACTGTCTTGTGATGTTGAGCTGTGAAAGGACAGAAACGTAATGGTAGCGGCTGGGCACTTCAGAGTTGAGTGGGAGTTTCTTAAGGATATGGGAGACCTTGGCACTGTTAGCAGGGGGAGAAGGAGCCTGAGGAAATGGAAGGAAAGAAAGGTGACAAAAAAAGAGACAAGTTCAGAAGATGATTATGTCAAAGTGAAGGAATTAGATTTAAACAAAGGGAAAGCACCAGCAAATACACAGAAGGTGAATGGGCCAGAGAGAGCATCCTGATCATGCCAAGCTGCCTGTAAGCAGGGAAGGGAAGTTGAGTCATGTAGGGTTGCATGTGAAATGAGGAACTTATCATCACCACAACCACCCACATGCTCAGCCAACTTTTAAATAATAGTTACTAAAAATTATTAACTCATTACATATCTGAAATTCTCTTTTAGCAATGTTATATATCAAGGACTTTGCTGTGGATGTGGTTCACCAACCTTGTGACAGATTCTAGGATGGACTTGACTTTAGACAGTCCTTCTTTGCCAAAATATACCACTGTGAGATGAATCTTCTTGTCTTGATGAATACAAACATCCCTAACAGAAGTGAAAAATAAAGTTTATTCAGGAAAACATGAGGCACTATTTATTCAGAAAGCAACCACATGAAGCTTTAACATGAAAATGAGGCATTACTGACACAATAGTAAACATAAAAGTGGCAATACTGATGAATTATGGAAGGCACAAGATCTATGCCTGAATGGGTGCACCCCTTGGAGGCCCATGGAAGCAGTCTGACATTGTTGCCATATTTCAAAACATTTTTTGAACTTTTGCTTTTGGATTGCTTTCAGAAGCAAATCACAAGCTGTTCAAGGAAATAAACTCAATTGGTTCAAAACCAAATAAATAAATACTGACCTTTTGGATTAAGAGTCATTTTGCCTTCAGACTGGCTAATTCCAAAATTTATAACTATCATTAAAGAATAATATTTGCCATGACTGAGATTACTTACTGTAAATAATAATGTGGCCTTTGAAAGTAATTCTAAGACAGGCAATAAAAAAAATGCTTTAGGAAATCAGATCTCAAGTGAGCTATTTGGAACAGTAAATCTCACTTGGAAGTATGACTGCCAGACATTCAGTTGTAGAACAGTTTTAATTAACCTTTTAAATCCAACAATTTCAATATGAGAATAAAGACTAGGATCACAAAGCATTAAAACTAGTATATCAAAGTATCTAAAACATTAAAAATATTAAAGTATTAAAAACATGGAAACTGTTAAATCAAAAAGCAGCATTTTCCACAAATAGTTTTCATGTGTAGATAATTATTTAACCCTTCAGCATTTTAAAATATCCAAATTTGATAACATAAAAAAACCTTTACAAATTCTCTGCTTTGCAAGATGAAATAACTTTCTCCAACTTTTAGTTTAATGTTTGTATTTCTAAATGTATTTCAGTTAAAAAACTGAAATCATTCTCATGGGGATTTTCTTGTGAGACACCAGTATTCTATGTCTTGATTGGAGTGGTGGTTCGCGAGTGTATACATTTGTCAAAAGACATTAAATCCCAGCCTGGACAACATGGCAAGACCCCTTCTCTACAAAGTTGTACAGAATAAAAAAGATGGCATGCACCTGTGGTCCCAGCTACTTGGGAGGCTGAGGCAGAGGATCACTTGAGCCCAGGAGGTTGAGGCTGCAGTGAACTGTGCTCACTCCACTGCATCCTAGCCTGGGTGACAGAGTGAGACCTTGTCTCAAAAACAAAAAAAAAAGAGTCATGATACCCATATCCTTAAAATATGTGGATTTTACTGCATGTAAATTATACCTTAGTAAAGTTGATTTTTTAAAAATTCAACTTGTCTTAAAATGAATTCACAATTATCAAGGCCATCAAATTTAGTTTCTAATAGGTGTCACTCAATTTATTTCATAGTTCAAATTGTCTATAACACAATACACTACACATGCTTTAAAAAAAGAGAGAATATAAAAAAATAAAGTTCCCCTAAAGCCTATAAAATTATTCTAAGTAATTATAATCAGTGAAGATAAATTAAGGAAATCTGAGTAAAATGTGATTTTTTTTGTTGTTGTTGTTGAGACAGAGTCTCGCTTTGTCGCCCAGACTGGAGTGCAGTGGCTGGATCTCAGCTCACTGCAAGCTCCGCCTCCCGGGTTCACGCCATTCTCCTGCCTCAGCCTCCCGAGTAGCTGGGACTACAGGCGCCCGCCACCTCGCCCGGCTAGTTTTTGTATTTTTTAGTAGAGACGGGGTTTCACCGTGTTAGCCAGGATGGTCTCGATCTCCTGACCTTGTGATCCGCCCGTCTCGGCCTCCCAAAGTGCTGGGATTACAGGCTTAAGCCACCGCGCCCGGCCAAAATGTGATTTTTTTTTTAGGAGAATGTAGCTGAATCGTTAAGCCCTGACAGTTACCTGAAGTTCTGCATGAACTGTACAAATGCTTCAGTTCTTTCAGCAAGTGGCACAATGATATTAATAATTGATCTAGTGATGTCAATCATCTCACTCTTCACTTTCATAAGAGGTCCAAAAGGGCGGAAGAGGGTCACATGTCTATATTCCATAAGGTCTGCTTTCTTAAAAAAGAGTTCATACTGCGTGCCCTTATCTCTCTCAGTGCGATAATAACCTAAAGGTTAGGAACAAAGACATCTCCATGTCAAAGTTTACAAATTCAATGGGAAGACAGATTTTACTCACTTAAACATCAAGGGTATTAAACCAGACCCGCAGGATTTTTACCTATTTGTGAAAATATTTATCCCCACTGCACAATCAGTAACAATTACTCCCTTAAAAGAAAAGGAAAGGTTAAAAAAAAAAGTTCACTGTTATTTTATTCAATCTATAAAATATACTACGAATGACAATTATTCCTTTTTACATATGACTTTTTAAAAATACTAGAGCCTATCAATATGGTAACCATGAAAAATAAAGACATTACTTCTAGCAATATTAAAATCTAGACCCAAGAGTCAAAATTTCTATTGGTTTAGGTCAACTAAAAGAAATCTAGTGCCTTCATGTCAGTTATGTGATATAAAGAGTGCCATGTGGTCTCAATTTTGAGGATAGGGCCAGTCTAGTGAAGGAGACAGAAAAATAGACAAATCATAACAATAGTGTGCTATGTGATATATATATCTGTATATATATGTGTGCATACATACACACATATAAAATCACTGACTAGAGTGAAGTCAGACAAAGAAAAATTGGTACAGACATAAACACAGTGATTTGAGATGCCTTTGAGAGAAAAGCATGAGTATCTACAAGGCAATCTGATTGTTTTGTTTTTTTAGATGGAGTCTCACTCTGTCACCAGGCTGGAGTGCAGTGGTGCAATCTTGGCTCACTGCAACCTCCACCTGCCAGGTTCAAGCAATTCTTCTGCCTCAGCCTCCTGAGTAGCTGGGACTACAGGCATGCGCCACCACGTGGCCTAGCTAATTTTTGTATTTTTAGTAGAGACGGGGTTTCACCATGTTGGCCAGGATGGTCTCCGTCTCTTGACCTCATAATCTGCCCGCCTTGGCCTCCCAAAGTGCTGGAATTACAGGTGTGAGCCACCGTGCCCAGTCGCAATCTGATTTTTAAGTGTGGCACTCAGAAGACAGAAGGTTAGACTTACAGATGTGTGAGTCACTCAGTCAATATCTGGGTATAAAAAGGTGAATAAATTAGACTTGGTCCCAACCCTCCTGAGGCTTACAGTTTAGTAGGAAGCATAAGCCAGGAAATGGGCAATGCCACATACTGTGACAAGCAGTATGAATGTACAGGTGACAAGAGCACACAGAAGTACTGCTGTCTTAGACTTGAGGTTGCAGATGACTTCTCAGAAGAGTGATATCTGAGCTAAAGTCTAGAAGAGGGATAGGAATTAGCTGTCATTACTAATTATTAGTAATTACTCTCCCTGCAGTGGGCAGACAGTGGCACAGTAGAGGAAAGGTGAGGAACAGAATATGTTCCATGTAGAGAAAAATCCTGAAGTATCAGAATCCAAGGAGAGTTATAAGACAAAAGCAGGAGCTGCAGAATATAAAACTGGCAAAGCTCCCTTTCTTTTTAGTTAGAGCTGATGTGAGGACATTTTACACATGTTACTTAGTTATTTCCTCCGCAGCTTCCAATTCTGCCATAAGCTACAAACATACAGTGAGAAGACAAAAAGCTGAGCTTGCAGAAAAATCAGAAGAGTTTTGAGAAAAATAATCCATCAAAAATGGCAGGAAGTGACAGCAGAAAAAAGAGGAGGCCACAAGGAAAGGCAGCTGCAATGCCACTGCAAAACATAATGCCCTCCCTGATGGCCTCCAAAGGCCTCGGTGTATTATAATAATGCTACTGTGCAGCAAGTGATGGCCATGACGATTTGGAGTCAAAAAGTCTACATGTGCTATGCCAGGGGTCCCTAACCCCCAGGCCACAGACCGCTACTGGTCCGTGGCCTGATGGGAACTAGGCGGCACAGCAAGAGGTGAGTGATGGGAGCCTGGCAAGCATTACCGCCTGAGCTCCGCCTCCTGTCAGATCAGGGGCTGCACTGGATTCTCAAAGGAGCGCAAATTCTGTTGTGAACTGCGCATGCAAGGAATCTACACTGCACGCTCTTTATGAGAATCTAACTAATGCCAGATGATCTGAAGTGGAACAGTTTCACCCCAAAACCATCCTCACCATCCCATGGAAAAATTGTCACCAATGAAACCAGTCCCTGTTGCCAAAAAGGCTGGGGACCACTGTGATACACAGTTTATAGAATCAAGCAAAGAGAACTTTCAAGAAACATTTATTTTCAAAATGGTTTAAGTCAGCAATTAAATGTCTAGCAGCGAGTGTAAAGGTGTAAAGGAGATGGGTAGGGATATAGAATTATTACTGTTAATATCAATCAATAAGTATCTTAAATTTTATAGCAGTGTTCTTCAACCTCTGAGTCATATCCCATCTTGACACATAAGAATCCCATACCCTTTCTGAAATATGTATGAGGAAAACAGATTATTTCCTTACTTTTCCAAATGCCAAATATGCTTTTTAAACTATGTATGACCCCTTGTTCAGACAGACACTTCTCCTTCCTCCAATACGAAAAATAGCTAAGAGTCTACTAATATTTTCTTTATCAAACGGTTTTCAAGTTTTGAGTCTTAGTTTACACATTTTTAAAAACATAAAAAACACCGAGATCAGATAAGTAATATAAATCATACACATGCAACAAGAGCTGTTTTATTCTATTTCCCTAGTCCTTATTCTCCAATTTTATTATGATCTCATTATACCTTTTTCCAGAAGGCCACTTAAAATTCTTGGTGGAATGAAGTGCGAAAACTTTAAGTGTTTTAATACTGTGGACAATGACTGACTTATGTTACCAGCATACAATACTAGCATTTGTCTTACTAATATAATATTGACCAACGTATTTTTCACATTACCTTCTATGAAGTCATTTTCATTAAATATCAGTTTCTCTCCAAGTGGACCCTCCTCATCTTCTTGTTCATCATCTTCATCAGGATTATTAATGACCTCCAAGCCAGCTTCAATAACTTCCACCAATTCATCTCGTTTGTCTTTTCTAACTGGTTTTTCTTCAGGATGGCGAGTGAGACCCATTTCCAATTGAAATACTTTCATTAAGGTAAAACTTTCAAAGGGAATGACCCCATACTCACTGGGTAGTTTGGCCCCTATGCTAACTTCAGCTTTGTCAATTTGGGAATGAAGAAACTCTAAAAGATCACTAGGTGCTTGCTCTTTGTTGCTCTGATAGCCTATGCCATTAGCCCCTACATTCTTTCTTTCTTGCAATGACCTCATCTTTTCACTCATTTCTTGTAACTCTTGTTTTAGTTGAGCAATTTGGCGTTTCAGACTGGTTGCCCTGGTCTGATAATGTTCTTCTTGTTCCTGTAGGAGGGCTTGATAATACTCTTTACCATAATTTTCCCCAACAACACCAGGAAGAGATGCATTTCCATCAGTCTGGGGGGCACATTCCAGGAGGTACATAAATAATACCAAACTGCAGAGCAAAGCGAGGCCCAACAGCAACCAGTGGGTCCGGGTGTGAAGAATCAGTCCTCTTCTAGGCATTCTTATTAATGTGTATTTGCCTATCAAAATAAGCTCTTTGTGTGTTCATACCTTCAGTAAAAAGTTATCAAAAATTAAAAACAAAATCAGAATTTCCATAAAAGGTACCCAAATAATTCTGCCGTAGCTTTAAGTTTTTCTTTCTTCAGCCGTCATGACTACTTGCAGAAATGGGAAGTTATGTATACTTTCTGTATTGTTACCATGATATCCAGAATAAAGCAATCTGACATATAAAATCCATTATATTGGTAGTGATTTTTCTGAAAGACACAGATCAGAATCAATCAGAATTTTGTTCCCTTAAGGATATCAAATTTGTTTGTGGCTTCAGTGAACTTAGCTACGTGACTACTACATGCAGAGAACTATGAGAGGTACTAATATAATTTAGCATATTCAGTAAATACTGGGAGAATTTTTTTTTTTTTTGAGACGGAGTCTCACTCTGTCACCCAGGCTGAAGCGCAGTGGCACGATCTTGGCTGACTGCAACCTCTGGCTCCTGGGTGCAAGTGATCCTTCCATCTCAGCTTCCCGAGTAGCTGGTACTACAGGCACCTGCACACCACACCCAGCTAATTTTTGTATTTTTAGTAGAGACGAGGTTTCACCATGTTAGCCAGACTGGTCCTGACCTCAGGTGATCTGCCTGTCTTGGCCTCCCACAGCCCTGGGATTACAGGTGTGAGCCACTAAGCCTGGCCTGGGAGAATTTTTAAAAATACTTTACAAAACAATAAATTATGTATAATACTTTTAACTAGTATGTCTACACGGCTATAACTTGAGTCAAAGAAACATTAAAATTACGTTCAGCATAGTCTATATTACATATATTCTACTGTTCTCTAATTTTTTGAAAATTATATTGCCTATAATTCTTTATTAACATAGTATTTCAATTACCGCACCATTTCCCAACTAAAGCTTATGTCCATTTGGGAACTGAGTTTATAGAAATTGTTTCTGTTATAGTAATAATGGTTTACTGGAGAGAGATATTTTCTTCCAGTTTATTCAACTCAAGCATTCTACCTCATTAATTTCTACTGCTCAGCTCAGCCAGTCTAGAAGCCTTAAAATTAAGTGGAGGAAAGAACAATTTCATAAGCTCACAGACATCTGAAAAACACATTAAGAAAACATTTTTATATCCAATGTCCTCCAGTAGATTATTTGCACATTAGATTACACAATTCTTTCCACTGTATTATGCATCAACAGATTTCCTACAAGTCTAGAAAGGTTTGGAGTCTATACAAAGAAAAAACATGAAGAATTTAATCATCCTTATCAGCAGAGAAAAAAATTCAAAAACCATTTATACATTTATAAAATTACATGCCATCGTTCATGCCACAACCAGTTGTGCAAACTCCTCCATGTCTTTAATGATTCTTAACTCTAGAAATAGAGGTTTAACTTAGGACAAGGGAGGCAAGGAGGCCTTCACTGCAAAGAGAACTTCCATCGTAACAAAGTGCTTGTTGAGAAGGATAATGTGATATGACAGCAGGCTTTTAACAGTAATGGTTTTCTCACTGCAGCAAAACCTGGAAGATCACTACAGATTATCAGTCCTAGCCACTTTTTTAATGAGTAAAAAACCTGGATGCTTTCTGTGGCAAATGCTGCAATGCGTTTGTTTTTGTTTTTGTTTTTTGGTAACATGTCTGTATAAAACATAGGACAGATGAAAACTTCTTATGGCCAATATACCACAAATAATGGTCTTAACTCTCCTTAGTCATTTATTATTTTAGTAAACCAAATGATAACCAAGTATCTTGGAAAATTTAGTTCACTACAAGGGAGTCTTTTTTTTTTTTTTTTTTTTTTTTTTGAGACGGAGTCTGGCTCTGTTGTCCAGGCTGGAATGCAGTGGCGCGATCTCGGCTCACTGCAAGCTCCGCCTCCCGGGTTCATGCCATTCTCCTGCCTCAGCCTCCCGAATAGCTGGGACTACAGGTGCCCGCCACCACGCCCGACTAATTTTTGTATTTTTAGTAGAGACGGGGTTTCACCGTGGTCTCGATCTCCTGACCTTGTGATCCGCCCGCCTCGGCCTCCCAAAGTGCTGGGATTACAGGCATGAGCCACCGCGCCCAGCCAAGGGAGTCTTTTACTATGACAGTATCTCTCTTACTGATTATAAATCTTGTTTGAGTGACATAGAGAAAAACAGAAAAAAATAGTTGGCTTTAAGAAATACTATCTAATTAAAAAATAAGAATACGAAACTAATATTATTTCCAGGACTTAACCATACCTCAAAACCATAATCCCTAGCATAAGAAAACACTTGAGTTTCAAAACCTAGCAGTAGCTTTTTAAACTATTATTACTAGTCCATTTATTAGGAAAAAGAACTGAAAATGTGGAGACATAATCTTGTAAAATAAAGATATACATACTTTAATAAAGATACACATACTTAAGCATACTATACTCAAAACTGAAGTGAAACTGGAACAGAACTACCACTATCTTTTATTAATATGGTACCTCATATGTCTTCTTTATATACACAATGTATTTTAGACAATGAGCTATAACTCAGACAATGGGTCACTACTGAAGGTTTACTTTTCAATAAAATAGAATTGAAAATATCAGTGGCAGTGTTAAAGCTAAGGTCATCTTTCTTCCTCTTCCCTTTAAGGGAAATACAGGTTTTGAGATATCCTACTTAATATTACAGTTGAATATTTTCTGATAAAATGAAAGAAAGGATACTGTAATTACTTCAGAATGTAAATGTTAGTTGCATAATTCTGTGGTTATTAAAAATGAAAGATTTCAATTAAAATTTTATTTGCCTAGTTCCTGAAAGGAACTCTATGGCCATAATCTAGAAGATTACATTATAACTGTTCTATCATATAAATTATGTTAAGAATATTACAGGAAACATTTTTCTGTTGTTACATCTTGATTGTCATCATTCTATGAAATGTGTTTGTATCATGAATACGGTTCATTCACAGCCCAGAGTTAATACCAACAAGCCTTCTAAGCACAAATGCAGATAGTTAAGTGTTTTGAGGAGAGAAAAGGATAACATGAAGATGGGAAAATAAGCTGTTAAAGGTATGTAACATGAAACCAAAGATCTCAGGATTGAAAGAAACCTTACAAGCCCTCAATTCTAACTCTCTAAAACTGACTAAAAAACTGACTTCCTCTTACAACCAAGATGAAGTAATGGGCCAGATTTACTCTCAGATTTGCTCTCTTTGGTTGTCTTGAAACAACCAAAAAAAAACCAACCCTTTCTGCCAAAAAACCCAAAATATGAAACAATGATTTTCAAAATATTTAACATCAGGTAACAAAGGACAGTGATCCCCAGAGAAACAAGAAACAAATGGTTGCCAGCTTACTGCTTTAGTTTCTGAGCCACACAAGGAGGGGAACCTAAGCAGAGCCCAGCAGATTCCCTGAGTTGATGGGATGCAGCTCACAGTCTGAGGAGACCAAGGTATGTAGGATTAAAGCAAATAGTACCAGAGTGGATACAGCTGCAGAGAGAGAGAACTCCAGAAATCTGAATAGGATATCCCATGGGTATTTGGCAGCGCACTGATCAGTGAAGGCTTATGAGGCAACTAACGGGCTAAGAAAAGGACCACACACAAAATTAGAGGACACAGAACCCAGCATTCATACAGGGCCAGGATTAGTGCATGTTCCCACCAGACAGACTGGAAAACCTCAAAATTCCCAGGGCACTGGGTAGACTAGCACTCAAAAAAGTCTTGTCTCAGTAGTGGGAAATAATTAGCTCCAGACTAAACATGACACTAATCCTGCCAATACATCTTAAAAGCAAGACTTGAAAGGATCACATTATTTCCAAGTAATAGCACAATAAGCCTTAAGAATATTTATAAGAATATAGAAATATCCAGTACTCAACAAAATAAAATTCACAGTATCTGGCATCTCAACAAAAATTACCAGGCATAAAAAAATATGATCCATAATGAGAAAAATTGATGATTAAAACTGACCAATGATTAGAACTGACAGATGTGGGAGTCTGCAGAAAAAGCACACCAAAACAGCTATCATAACTGTATTTTTAAAATGATGTTTATGTTCAAAAATTTAAGTAGAGGTATGAATGACATAAAAGAGATCCAAGTTAAACTTCAAGAGATGAAAATTTCAGTGTCTGAGATGAAAAATACACTGAATGGGATTAATGGCAGATTAGATATTTTAGAAGAAAATATTAGTAAACTAAAGATGTAGCAACAGAAACTATGCAAAAACAGAAAGAAAAAAGAATGAAAAATTTAAACAGAGCATTGATAAGCTCTGTGATAATTTCAAACAGCCTAATATACATGTAAATGGAGTCCCCAAAGAAGGGGGAAGGAGTTAGGAGAAATAAATAAACAAGGCTGAAAATTTCCCAAATTTGATGGAAACTATAAACACACATAAGAAACTCAACCAATCCCAAATAGCCATAAAGAAAATTGTAGCAAGGCACATGATAATCAAATTGCTCAAATCCAATGTAAAGAGAAAAATCTTTAAACTGGCCACATGAAAAATGCACATCACATACAAGGAACAAAAGATAATAATGACAGATTACTCCTTGAAAATTGCAAGTAATTAGACAGTGGAACAATTATCTTTAAAGAACTGAAAAGAAAAATATACCAGCCTACAATTCTAAACCCAGGAAAATTATCTTTGAAAAAGGCAAAATACTTTCCCTACATAAAAAGCTAAAGGAATTCATCACCATCACACCTGTACTGTAAGTCTTTTAGGCACAGGAACATAATACCAGAAAGGAATATGGATTTATACAAAGCAATGGAAAACATCATTAATGTTAAACTACATTGGTAACATAAGATTTTTGCTCATTATTATCTAAATCTCTTCAAAAGATAACTGAATAAAATAGACAAAATCCTAGAAAGATAGAAACAAAACTGATTTAAGAAATACCAGATATGAATAGACTTACATGACAAAAGATTGAATTAATAGTAATAAAAAAAACTACTCACAAAGAAAAGTCCAGGCCTAGAGGCTTCACTGGTAGAATCTACCAAATATTTATTTATTCTTCTTATTTTTTTGAGAGAGTTTTGCTCTTGTTGCCCAGGCTGGAGTGCAATGGCGCAATCTCAGCTCACTGCAATCTCTGCCTCCCAGGTTCAAGGGATTCTCCTGCCTCAGCCTCCCGAGTAGCTGGGCTTATAGGCATGTGCCACCATGCCTGGCTAATTCT